TTCGCAGTATTACCACCTGGTGAGATCCATGTTGTCTTGTGGATATCTTTCCTGTCAAAATAAGTGCTCATTATCTTGAAATTTTGTTCAATTGCAAAGTTAATCAGGAGTTTGCCATTTTCATTTGAGAGTTCATGTTTGCTTTTCCCTCCTGTAACGTTTCGATAAGTGTCTTCACGCCCAACTTTTGCATTGCAGTCTCCTAATATTATTTTGATATCGTATTTTGGTAGACTATTTATCACGATAATGAGCTAATACTAAATATTAATTATGTGTGTTTCAAGTTCGACTCTCACCATTGGGGTCTCTAAAACGGTAAGAGATACGAAGTCGATTAAGTGGAAGCAAAGTTGCGCATTTAAATAACTAAGGAAATACCACTTAGAAAGTCACAATTCCGAGTGTTTCCGCAGACGTGTGATTTTATTTTTTTCCTGAGTTTATTTGAAATATGATTTCAAAATCGAAGGTACACTTTTTGTTCTCTACAAGATGGCTTAATTAGAATTTCAATTTGACGTTTCATCTCTTGTCCTCAGTCGTCAACTTTATTTTTCCTTATAGACGCCATATTGGATTTTGGCACAGGTGAGTAGAGTGTTTACTTCCCGTTCCAGAAATGTATATGTCATACATTGACATTTCAAAACCTTGATTATTTCAAAAAAAAAAAGTGCCCAAGTAATCCTTTAAATTATTGGATAGTCATTTGTTTCAAAATATTATCAGCCAAGATTTTACATACTATTAATAGGTGCAGTCTCTGTTCCCTATTTTAGTGACGTGATATTGTACAATAACATGGATTGGTATTATGAAACATCAGATATTTAAACAAAAATAATATTTGCAGAATAAATAACCTAGCACTAAACATTTTTCATATTATTTAAATTTTGTACTGAAAATATTGAAAACAGTATTATGTAACTGATAAAAACCGGGTAGTGTAACTAAAAGCCTCGACGATGTTGTAGCTTCCTAAACACATTTTATATCCGTCATATCTAAACCGATACACACATTTCGCGTTCAAATGCCTACGGCTGAGGTGTCATCCTATCAAACAAAAAAAAAGGAAAAAATAAAAACGATTTTAGGAAAGTTTAGTTTCTTCTGGCTATTTTCGGAAATACAAGGAATTGCGAATCCTAGTAAGTGTCATTTTCTTAGTTACCTAAATGTATGACTGTGCCCCTATGTAACTGACTTCGTATCTCTTACCGCTTGGGATATCCCAAAAGTGACAATCGAATTTGGAACCCCGGTATTTAAAAAGGACAGGTTGAAAGTTCAAAACCGCTTGACAAAGATGGTATGAAAGATCACGGTTGTTTACGTGAAGATTAAAATGCTGCAAATACGCAAAAATCGAGTGTGTAAAGACTAGAAAATTGACATCTGCCTTTCTCGAGCATCAAAGCAATATGACGTTCTTACCTCCCCGTTTTATAATAATAGTTATATTTTTTAATTTACTTGAGTCCATCACTGATGGATCCGGTGAACTTATGGTTGACAGCTGATTGGATGACGTCAGCAACCGGTTCTGTTGAACGGTGGTTAATAAAAAGACGCATTTTTATGTAGCCTTCAGGTTACTGTCATATGAGAAAGCCTAACCTTTGTTTTGTCGTGGATACTTGTTAATTTGAACACCGTAATATTTGAAATCATTATGGCAATGTACGCAGCAGTTGGTATCGTCGTGGAACGTTTGTTAAGGGATTCGAGTGATGATTCGGATGAAGAGTTATCCAGTGGAGAGAATTTGCGCTCCGAGAATCAATAAAAGAACTATAAATCAGAAAACCAAGAAATTTTCAGATATGCATAACTCTAAATAAAATTACTTGCCTTCAGATGCTTTGTTTATTTCGAACTGTGTTAAAAAAAAACATTAAATTTCACGCTACTCCTATGCTGTAGAATAACAATCTTTTCTTCTTCCATTTTTGCACACAAAACTGTAGTTGTCAAAAAATGATAAAATGTAGAGGTTAGAATATCGTGGATCAACCGAGCCCGAACGTCGGTGGATGCTGTTGGCACCGGTATCATATCCAACATCAATATAAAGGCAAGTTTGATGTACAACGGTCGTTCCAGCGAAAACTAAAGGACGCAAAATTTGCTAACCGGTTGCACCGGTAACTGAAAGGGTGAGTTAAGAAATTAGCTCATTTGCCGAGCAACCTACCTATCAGCAACAAATCAAATACGTCCCTGTGTAGGGTACCCAAGAGGCAAGTAGTATCGTCGGCTGGTTCATATTTCGAATTCATTTATTCCGAAGGGCCCGAGGGTCGGCTTTCTCTGTTCGAGTGCGTGTGTGTGTTGTCCGAGATCCGGCCTTTTCTGACAGTTTCTATAAAATACTCGCCAAAATAAACGCCGACTATCTAAAACCTCGATCTGGGTCATATTGCTTTATGATAATGGAACAAAGAACATTTCTGCTGGCATTTGTTGTATTGATTTCAGTTATGATGCTGCTTTTCATAAGCTCGGCCGAGATTCTTCTTTTTTGTTTTCCTACGCAAAATTCAAGGTGATTAAAGAAACAGCTGAGTAGGGTAGAACTTAAATTGGAAAGTAAGCTGGAAAGTTGCTTTAAATTCTGAAGTTGCTATTTTCCGAAATACTTGTTGTAATCTGAGTTTACAAACTTGACCTCGATGTGATCGTTGAGGCAATATTTGTCGTAATAATAGGGGAGCCCAAGCGGGGATTTCGGGATTTACTAAAGCGCGGCAGATGAATATACAGGAGTATACCTTGTACCCATTTAAGTATTTCCACCAAATATGAGCCCCTTATACAGAAAAAAAATGGTACGCCAATGGTTTTTTGCCAAATAAAAATTATTTTTGAATTCCCCGTTCAATTTAAAACCAATGATCTCTCTTAATTGTCCTCTTTCGATGCGCCATTTTTGAGTAAAAAAATAAAAACCGTTCTATTCTCTAACTTGCAAAATAATTATTAATTTAATTGGAAAAATTAAACACATCAGGGGTAAGGAACAACAACAACTGACAACATAAACATAACATTAAAAGCAAAGAAATGATTATAAAAGTTGTTGAAAATGGCCCCCTTCACTTAGTATGCATGGTTCCGCCCTCCTACTCATGGAATTGCGCACTCGTTGAAGTATCCCTGGAGTGTTTTTTATTCTATCACAAGCTGCAACTATTCTTTCTCTTAATTCCTCTACAGTGATAATGGGACTTGTGTACACTAGTGTCTTAAGATAGCCCCACAAAAGGAAATCTAAACTGTTGAAATATGGGGACCTTGGTGGCCATACTTGGGGCCCACCGCGCGATTTGGATAAGTAGTTTGTAAATAATTACGAATTACATATTGTTTCTTATTACTAACGGAACATCATCAAGCAGCAAAGGCAACTGTTGTTGAAGAAAACTGAGGCAAGTCTGTCCGTTACGTCGTTCCAGCAAGAAGAATGGGCAAATAAAGTAATAAAGTGGTTGCCAATAATTCCTGCCCATACGTTAACCGAAAGTTACGGTTACGGTATAGGGATTTTCTTCTGGCCACAAATGATTATTGTGAAAATTATGGAAGGCATTTCGAGAAAAATTAGCTTCGTCCGTGAACAGAATCATTGATTCAAATTGCGGATTTTGTGTAATTTTTTGAAGATACCACTGACAAAAGGTCACACGCCTTGGAAAATCAATGGGAAGTAATACTTGTACTCTTAAAATATGGTAAGGATATAACAAAAAATCCACTAAAATTCTCCAAACAATTTGATGGCCAATATGTAAGTATCTAGCGATCTTCCTCGTACCCGTTTCAGGATGTTCTTCGACTTCGTGCAGCACTGCTTCCTCAATTTTAGGTGTTGTCACACTTAGAGGTCTAGCTTCAGATGTTATTTTTCGGACAGAACCAGTTTCAACAAGACGACGATGAATATTAGAAACGGTTCGACTATCTGGCAAAGCACGATCGGGATATCTCTGGTGATAAATCCGTCCACCATTTTTAACAAGATTGAAATAATGGAAAAGATGTCACAGCGAACAGATTTGAATAATACAGACTTGTCAGATGTCAAAAGCCAGTGACATATTCCAGAGCAACTAGATATTTATTGCTAAATTGCATTCTTCAATTATTACATTCATTTTCTCGGACAATAGAACGGTTTTAATTTTTTTAATCAAAAATGGCGCATCGAAGGAAAACAATTCAAGAAAGATCATTTGTTTTAAATTGAACGGGGAATTCAAAAATAATTTTTATTTGGCAAAAAACCATTCGCGTACCATTTTTTTCTTAAAAAATATCGAAGTCAATACCCGTACGCGCGCCACTGTTAAAGCTAAAAATTATTGATACATTGAAAAATATGAAACTTTATTAACTTTCACTACATACTAAGGATCAGTGAAATATCTGAAGCGGTTCTGAAAATATTAATTAATTTCCTTTTTTTTCCTAAAACTTCAACACTCCGAATTTTTGTAACGAAACATTTTTGGACCATAGTTTATAAAGCAAACTAACATTAATTTTTCATGTAGATTCACACCCTTAAATATTCTCATATCATTAAGGAACACCCTGTATATGGTCGCCCGTCAAGGATAAAGGATCAGATTAGTAAACAAAATTGATCATCGAGCGTGTCAGATTAAAGTAAGGTGAGTTAGTTACATGCTAAAATATGTATTTTCGACTAATCTGACAATTTGAGAGTGGCGCAGAGAAGGAGGAGGGCTACAAAGTTGTAAAAAAACGTCATCTCGACATTCTCGAGCGTGGCTAATTTTTTTTTATTTTGAAGGGAGTAATTCACGTCGATTTTCACAAGCCGAAGTAATAAAAATTAAAGTTTAATACGTGCAGCTACAGGATGCCTATATTCCCCTCTCCGCGTTTCTATTTCTCTCTCACTCTTTCTCTATCCATTACTCTCTCAATCCGTCCCCACTCTGGTTGCTGTCGCTATGACGCCATGACAGCTGATCACACAGCTCGTTTGTGGCATGATATTCTTTACAACGTATTTCCAACGTTTTTGCTTATGTTGTGATTTTATTATTAGTTATGTGAATTAAAGTTTATAGATATTTATTATGAGTGATATTAATATGAAGTGTGTATTTTGTGGTGAAAATACTTTGCAAAAAACAATTAAATTTACATTACAAACATTACAAAAATGTTTAAATGTTTTAGAATATCGCCGGAGCAAACCGGTTGTCCGAAAATCTCGAACAACATACGATAATCTAGAACTTTCGATAGAATCTTCATTGAATGAAGTGTATTACGCACAGTGCTATAAATTATTTACAGCAATAAAAATACCGCGAGACTTTTAGTATTTGCAACCACAGCAAAGTTTAATGGATCATGACAATGCATCAGAAGTTTCTGGGAATATCTCCTAATCACATTCTTCTGTTTCTGGAGAGTGCTCCAAATCACATGCTACTGTTGATTCCGCGTCTACTGAGGCTGTTGGTACATCGACGGACGAGTAAGTGCTAATAGGATTTCATCTAGTAAATATAATTAAAAAAAAGTTATTCATAAGAAAAAATATTTTAAAATGTTTTAATGAATTTTTGTTACAGCTACGCAATCTGAGGATGAAATCGAGCCAGAGGAGGAAGATGATTCTACCGATGAAGATGATGATTAAAAAAAAATACTCAAAAAATATAATTATTTATAATTATTTTTTTATAAGTATAAGTATTCTACTTAAAAAACATGCACTTTTTTTATTTGCATGCTATTTCCTTAGATTTTCAGTTAAATAAGTTCATTGATTAAAAAAAATAAAATAATCTTTTTTTAATTGTCAGATTAGGTGAATCCCTTCAGGTAATCGTCAGATTATGAGAAAGCACGTCTAGGGCATAAAGATGAACCATATATATCTTAATCTGACGCGCTTGAGTATTTCAAAATGACAATTTTTTTTGCACATTTTAATAATGACCACGAGTTTGCGTCACATCCAAATCATCAGATTAGTATATAAGAGCTTTCTTTTAGATTCACTTAACATCTCCTTTGAAAATCTGATGCGCTCGATTATTTTTTTTCATTTTCAACCCTTTCGTACGACCACCCCCATCATGGAAACAATCAGATTAACATACGAACATTTTTCAAAATACACAGGACATGGATGATATCAATATCTGACGCGCTCGAGTATGTCCATCCAACAGTTTTTTTTACATTTTTGGAAATCTATAGCCTCTCCCCCCACCGATGAAAAGGTATATATTATAGGACATTTTTTTCGTTTTATCATCTAAGCTTCGCAACCCAATAAGTCTCTATGAGGCTGGAGTAAATCCCGATTTAGCATCGTGGGCTCCCCTACTATAATCGACATCTCCTAAATTTTCTATCATTTAAGAAAAAGTGGTTGTCAAGCTTTCTAAGGGGTTGATATATTTTTCATCTGACATCGTGTACCGAAATATATTCTGATGTTGAATTTCGAGCTCCTGATGTGAATCTCACACGATCAGTATTTACTGTAGCCCATCAGTATTTCCAATGGAATGTGATATTTGCTGGACCTGTAGCTTGGATGCTGGTAAATTTATTGATGTATAAGATTACGTAGAAATTCACTGGCACTGGCGGAATCATGAGTATACATTGTGATATGAAACATAGCAAACAAACACTTGCCGTGTCACATTCGTCATTAGATCTGCCGTCATAAATATTGGTTGCTTAAACTTACAAACTTCCGGACGGGTATTATGTAAAAAACCTATAAAACGTCAAAAAAAAAACAATAAAATGCCATATTGCAGACAAGGTAATTTTTAGGCTGCAAATAGTTCATTCCACGTTTGCTCGCTATGACCGATGTGAGCGTCCATCTATGGAGGAATGACTCGACTACACGCATTGTTGGTTGCATATGTTTGGTGAAGCCGAGTACCTAGTCTGTAGTTTTCATCTCTGAGGAGAAAGTTGGTCGCAAGATCGCATATGGATGATTATGTGTATTGGTCTGCATGTGTATAAAATCGGTGATATTTGCTGTGTAAGAAAAGTATTACTGAATATGCTACCAATGAAGTATATCTATTAGCTGTGCCAGACGGGTTATTTATACGTTGTCCTTTCTGAAGCCAGGTTATGTTCAAAGTTATAAATTACGACTTTTCCCGTTTTTTTTGTGTTTTCAAAAACTTTGAGGATGACTGCACCGCGCCCGCGTTGAGTGAAATTAAGCCACAGCACAGAAAAATTAGTAATGACGCATCACACATCAAACATTTTCGTAATGCCTCACATCTAGGCGCTGATGTGTATTTTCCATTGACATCGTAAAATAAATTTCTATAAAATTTACATGACTGGAAAGCATCAGCTAGTGCTAAGTTAACATCTTGTAGGAAAACATTCCCTATGTCAAAAAAACCTACGTTATGTCAAAAAAAGACCTAATGTCACTTTTCAAGATACGTAATACCCGTACCGAATGGCCTCAAAGGTAATCTTTTATGACATATTAGTGGTCACCAGTATTCCCTTTTACATCCCATGCCTACCGGCGCGGCGAGAAGGTATCGCAATCGCGAAAAATTTTGTAAATGAGATATTATGTTTTTTGGATATTATCAGGGTGCGGCAGAGAGGACGGACGTTTTTGGGATGGGTAGTTCTCTCCGCCACCATCTACGAGAGAGGTGGGGAGGGTGCCGTTTGACTCGTGAGATCCTAGCATTATTTTACCAGTTGTCGTTATGGAGCCTTGGACGATGGAGCACCGCGTTTTCGCCTATGATTGTTTCGTCCGAAATAATGAGTCAGTCATCGTCGTACAGCGTGAGTTTCGTCGCCACTTCAACATTCATCAGAACACCATCCTTCGTTGGGTTGAATCACTTCGCAGGCGTGGTGAACTGATCAACAGAAGACTAAGAGGAGCGCCGCGAACTCCTGAAAATGTTGAACGCGTTCGACAGGTCTTTCTTCGCAGTCCCACTCGATCTGCCCGGAAACATGCTGCTGCACTTCGCCTTCGCTTTCACCCCTAAAAATTGACCATTGTGCAACAGTTACTGACCGGAGATTATGCACAACGAATGAACTTCGCACGTGAGATGGAAGCTCTGATCGATCAAAATGAGAACCTCATTTTGTTTATGAGTGACGAAGCCGACTTTCACAACCTACAAACCCCGAACTCTGGATGAATTGAAGGGCGAAATTTGCGTGGAAGTCGCCCAAGTTGAGAGAGCGATGTTGGAGAGAGTCTACGCGAACTTCCAAGAACGCCTCCAGCACTGCATCAACGGTTTCGGCCACCACATGCCTGATGTGATTTTCCACACTTGATTGTCTCAAATGCTATTTCCTTGTGAACCTGATTCCACCAATAAATGTGTTTTCGAGTAAAAATTAACTATTTTATGATTTTTTTAAAACCGTCCATCCTCTCTGCCGCACCCTGTATGACATGCTTAACACGAAAAACTGTCACTCGGTCTGTCTGTCTGTGGATATCTCTACCGCTTGGTCCGCTAATCCTGGGTTTAACTGTAACTTGGAAAGTACTGTTCTGATTCTGATGAAAGTTTCGGTCGAGTGGCGACGGAGCTTAGGGCAAAAAACGAAAAAATCATAGCCGATTAAACTTTTTTAGAGGTTTCAGAGGTTCCTGACCACTTCTAGATTTTTTTTGGAGAGGTTGACAATTGAGAGTTGTTCACGGTGGAGAACGGTTTATCAATTTGTTGGCAGTAGTCTATAGGCTTCCAACCCCAGTAATTCTACTCATGTATTTCATCCATGCTTGATTTTTTCCCGTACATTAGTACTTGCAACTTAAAATATTTATGGCACGCGTCTCTCTCTGAGTTGTCAGGCGTCACAGTCTCCCCCATGAGTGTCGTTATATTAGTGCCACGCTGCCAAGTCTGACGAGTTGATTCATCGAGCTGGAGGTGTGAGGGGAGGGGCGACGTTGCCAGATGGACGGTATTATCGGTAGGGTAAGGAAAATTGCATATGTACTAATTGTGTCGGCTTCTATGACTAATGTGATCATGTCTCGCTTCAGCTGGGACCGTCTGTTTCCTTTCTCTTTCCGTCCAGGCGTCACCGACAAAAAGTAGGGGACTCAAAATTTCCTCGCCTTCCTAAACCCCGCTTTCCTGAACTTTAGTATCGCGGCCACGTTGCTCAAAATTTTTTATTGGGCAGATTTAAGAAAAGTACCTGAAAAAGCAGTAGATGTACTGACTGAAAAGGGATATATTGCTTTTAATAAAGAGGCAGAGGTTTTTAACGAGCTTTCAATAATTTGTAACTACATTACGTTGCAAAAGGTAATTGAATGGAACAATCTTATTTTTTCTGATACAAGATCGATGGTCCATGGGTTATCAGATTTCTTGCTAAATGTTTCAGAGCCTTCCAATTTTGCAGTAACATTACAATGTTGTTCAAGTTTCGTATTGTCGGACACTTTGACACACACTTTCATTAAATACCTTGGAAACAAAAAATGTATGAAAGCAACATTTATCAGAATTAAAGCCAAACATTTCCAAAACGGAACGGTGGGTTTTATTTAAACGAGGTAACGTGTCAAACTTCTCTAAGAAAAATAAAAAAAATTTAATGTCTACAAAAAGCACAATGATATACGATACATATATGTACCAATGATTTAACAGACGATTCTTTGAGTAAGTTCATATAAACATTAAATTCTTCGTTCTCAAGATACAGGGTGTGGACATTTAAAAAGAAATGAATATCTTAAATATCCTTTTTCTTATTGTTGTAATTTGACAGTGGTATATATAACATTGAGGAGCTCATTTAGCCCTAACCTTATTAAATTTATCAAGTCCAGTAGCGTATCCAGCGGGATCTCAACCAATATGTGTGAAAAAATATACGTCACTGACTTTGGTGCAATTTGGATTAGAAGTAGAAAAACAAACCTTTTGTCTCTTGAATTTTTTCCGTATGTTGCTTAGTTTTAGAAAAAAAAATCCACGGAATTGCATATCCCTGGTCCGCACAGGGCATGTGGGGAATAGTTCCTTTTGAAAATAAGTAAAGTTCATTAGTTTAGATGTTAATGTAATGTAATTTAATTTAGTGCTTATTTATTGTTGTTACATAATTAGTAATGAAAAATTATAAAAAAAATCCAAAATAAACTTTTTTCCCGACATTCCTTGTGTGGTCCGAGGATATGCAAAGTGGATTTGATTTTCGTAAACTAAGCAAGATACGAAAAAAATTCTAGAGACAAAAAAGTTGTATTTCTATTTGCTTAATCCAAAGAACATACTACAAGTTGCGTATATTTTTTTTTGTTACAGATATTCGTTCAAATCCCGCTCGAGACACCACTGGACTTAATAAATTTAGTCAAGTTAGGACTAAATCAGATCCTTAATGTTATAATTACCGCCACCAAATTACAACAAAATTAGGAAAATGATATTTAAGAAACCTACTAAAAACTATTTTTTTAAATTTAAACACCCTGTATCTACCTATGTTTATATGAACTTATTGTCTTAAAATCGTTTGTTCAATTTATGGTACATACTTATATATAACTATAAAGTGTACAAGTGACAGAACAAACATTATTGTAAAGGACTGATGTCAAAGGACCCTGACACAAAACGGGTAGAATAAGTTCAACCTACG